GCATAAAATTTGGGCCACCCTGTATATAGTTGTTAAGTATTAGGGACTAGATAGTTAAGAAACAAAATTTCTGGTTAAATAGTTGGGTAATATAATCTAGGAAAAAACAATAAAGGTTGAAAACTATTTATTTCTGCACAAGCTTTCGCGAAAATTATTCTCTCTTCAGGAGTTGAAATGCGAGGTTCACAATGAAGATGGCAAACATAACAATAATAAAAAACTTTCAATTGGAAAAAACTGATATTATTTAAAAAACAAACTGTAACCACATAAACGAATGTTTATGGTTTTATGTTTAACATGTTTGACGATTTTATTGAGTTTTAATTTAGTATGATAGAGTTTTATGTATATGGATGAAATTTCGAAGACATGTGCCAACTTTAACCTCACTTATTGTAAGTTAAGAATTTTTTCCCTTTTTAATCTAAAAATTTTACTATTGACTTAATAATTTATGTAGTGTTCCTGAGGGAGAAACAATAAAGTTTCGAAAGCTTGAACAGAAAAAAGAGTGTTTCTTTTTTGTAAGACTGATAAACCCGATTAACTTTCCTTCTTCTTATGTACAGGGTGTTCCACCTAAGAGGGATTCTTCTGTAGCTCTGTAACTGTAAAATTTATACAAAAAATGGTTTTAATAAAAGTTGTCTGGGATCATTTGGGTCATGTAAAGAAAATATTTTTGGCTTTACAGGATGTTCCATTTCGCGTGGACACTACATAACTTTGTTATTTTAAATGGAACACCTTTTATATTATTGCGTTTTTGAATTCCTTAATATTAGGAGTTTATTAAATGTGCATGGTTTTTAAAACTTACTGTTTTCGAGGCAATCAGTTGTTTTTGAAAAAATCACAATTTTAGTTCTCTAAATGAGGCTAGATAGCGTCTAAACCGTAAGTTACAAACGCGCAGTTATCACAGTTCGTTTTGGCATAAATTACTTTATCTTGTCATCTATGAGCAAAACGCGTATGTTATTCAGACTCGGAAATACTGAGATCTACATTTGATAATCTTACGAGTTGAAAATCTTTTTTTTAATGGAATGACCCATATTAATTGTCTAGGGTGAATGCAAAATTGAATGCCTTTTCGTCTGATATAAGGTTGTCCCTACTTATCTTTAACAGTTTTCCAGAAAAATCAGATTCTTTTTTAAAGTCCGAAAAAACATGTAACAGCGTCAAGAAGGCCTTGCACTTTTCTCTCACATTTTATCAGGCCTGGGACTGACAGTGTCATTATTTACTGGCATGTTTAAAAAATGATTTGACAAACAAAAGTAAACCACTAACAACAACTAAAACAAAAAGCAAAACGAAAAAAACTGAAACTTTTAACACAACAAGGAGAAGAATACTTACCCGCTGATTACATCAATTACTCGAAGTGTCCTCCATTTTGTCTGGCGTAATTTTTTGAAATGCTACTCTAATGCGCTGCCATATATCTTCCGCGGTAGTTGGTGGTGTAACGTAAACTTTGTTTTTTATAAATCCCCATAAAACGAAGTCGCAACTTGTCATTACCCGTGAAGATCAACTCACCTGTGCCCCGCACCCAAACCATTTGTCGGGAAAAGTTTCGTGTAAAAACTGACGAACCGCAGCGGTATTGTGAGGGGGAGTACCATCATGTTGCATTCACATTCTTCGAAGTGTAGCTAAAGGAATGTCGGCTAACAAATCTTCTAGAGTGTTTGTTAAAAAGTTTAAATAATCTGTTCCAGTTAGATGCTGGTCAAAAAAGATTGCTCCAATAATATGGGTTCCCAAAATTGCTCCCCACACGTCCATCGCCATCGTTGGTTAGGAGTTGTTCGGAATTCGTGAGGATTTACTGTGTCATAATAATGGCAATTATGACTGTTAACAAAACCATTTTTATGAAAAGTAGCCTCATCGGAGAACATAACCCGTTTAAAAAAACATCATCTTGATTTAACAACTTAAGTGCCCACTGACAAAACTCCAAAAAAGTTTTTCAACTTGTAAAATTATTAAATGTAGGTCTCAGTAATTCCGAGTCTGAATAATGTACACGTTTTGCTCGCAGATAACAAGATAGAGTAATTTATGCGAAAACGAACTGTGAAAACTGTGAAACTCTAACTCTTACGGTTTAGACGCTATCTAGCCTGAATTTAGATGAACTGATATCGTGATTTTTTTTCAAAAACAACTGATTACCTCGAAAACGGTAAGTACATTTAATAACCTCTACCTAATATTAACCAAGGAATTCAAAAACGCAATAATATGTATAAAAGGGGTTCCATTTAAAATAACAAAGTTATATAGCGCCCACGCGAAATTGAACATCCTGTAAAGCCAAAAATATTTCCTTTATATGACCCAAATAATTCCAGACAACTTTTATTAAGGACTGTTCGAGTTTTAATGCAATTTTTTAGACGCCCTGTATATAGAAACCTATTTGAAATTTTGTATTTTTTTGCTATAGAAAGGTTTAAAAAGATGAGTCCATATATAAAATTAAATTGCGGCATTAAATAAAAAAAAAATCTTAGGTTACCTCGTCTGAGATTGAACCCCGACCTAACGAATACAACGGGCCGTTTTTACCAATGCGCTATCGACCGCTTCGCCAACGATCCGTCTGTATTGATATTTTAATTGTCATTCACAGCTGAAGTAATTAAAAATTTTTGTAATGTTAAATTTGCATTTTTCTAACTCAAAGTCGTCTCACAAAAGATCCTCAATGGGATAAAACAGATAAATAACATTCCATGACTCGGAAGAGTAGTTTAGCCCCAATTTATTTCTATAATTTTTCGCAACTTTTGATGTTTGGGGAGTAAGTAATACTAATGCAATGCAATGCATAGTAGGTAACCAACGAAGCAAATGTACTAATACAAAGGGTTTAGGTACTATGGATTAGTTTAAAATTATGCAATTTTAGAGGGCAAGTACTTACGTTAATTCGGGGGACAGGTATCCTAATCATAGGCATGTCAAACGGTAGAGCTGCGAAAATGTAAATAACAACCTGACCTAATAATAAGAAATACCTGTATATGTCGTGGCGTAGCAATGTATTAAGGTTAAAAAAGGCCTAGTAAGGTAAAATAACGGTCCGCCGCGACCCTACAGACGCCTTTTGCGTTTGGCGTGAAATTATTTTGACATAATTAATCTGACGTTTCTAACGACGTTCGAATTTTCTCCGGGTGGGCGTGTCTTAAAGCTTCAATCTTACGGCTCGCGAAATGGCCGTCTGTCGTCGAGCAGAACCCAAACAGAAGGCAAAATTAGGTATAAAAACGCGAAAAGAACGTTACAAAAATGCCCCCGAACGACTAAGGAGGAACGACTGAGTATCTGTGCCAAGTCGCAAGCCGTTTCGACGCGGGCGGAGAAGGAATTTTGTGGATTAAAATTCACATTATTCGGCCTTCCTAGACAGTGCATTTTAACGTATTTACGGCCGTATTTCGAATCCCGCGTTTGATTTCGCGGAAAATTGTACATAAAAAGTTGAAAGAAGGCACCCGGTCGATAAATATGAGTATTTTCGGCACGGTTTTAAATGAAATATCGTAGAAAATGGGGGAAATAAAAAATAAATAAGCCGTATCGCGCGCGATTCGAGGCGATCGGCGACCGTCAGATTTCAGCGGGAGGGCGTGTCGGACTATTGCTCTTCACACAAAAATTGGGCCACGCCCCTCGCAAAGCCCGAGGAAAACTCAAAATTCACCTCGAAGACGGCAAAAAATCGCCATCAAACTACGACGTTCGGACGGAGGAAGGCAGGCGGGGGGCTTCGCTATTAGGATTTGAAAGCTGCATTTAAACGTAAAGAATGAGGCCTGTTCGATTTTAGTTCGTGCCAGACAGCAATGAGGGCGCTAGAAAATGTTTACCATACCGATCTAATATAGTACTGTATCTATGGTTTGCCCTCTCTAACCGGCTAACCTCATATCTTTTATATGTGACTAAATTAACTTCTTGTATTTGTATTTTCATTTTGTGTTATATATATAGTCGTCAGTAATTTTAATTCATATTAGCAGGAAAATTGACCTATTTTCGAGTGGTTGATTTATAAAAGTACCTATATTTTGAAATAATATGGAAATTTGTAGTTGATGTCCGATTATTATATTAGTAAAAGCTGATAGAATCAAAAGGTATGTATACAATACAAATTTTGTCTCATAATAGAATTACAGAAAAATGTTTCTTTTAGATACTATTCTTTAAACAATGCTGGAAGTTGAATATCGCAGGGAGTATTGCTGAATAAGTAAACCATTAATTGTGAAGTTAAACAGCAAAATATTTTTTTTTGTAAATAAAAATACTGTGGCTCTCGAGTGTTGGAGAAATAAGAAATCGCCCAAATATAATGTATTGTAAATCCATCGTAAATGGCAATGGGTTAAAATTTCAATGTTATGAAGTTAAATTGAAGATATAAGTGTTTTAATCCAGTTGACATGTGATAACAGAAGGTTTTNCTCTCGAGTGTTGGAGAAATAAGAAATCCCCCAAATATAATGTATTGTAAATCCATCGTAAATGGCAATGGGTTAAAATTTCAATGTTATGAAGTTAAATTGAAGATATAAGTGTTTTAATCCAGTTGACATGTGATAACAGAAGGTTTTTTGTTTAAAATTAATGTTATTAGGGAGTACACAAGTGGCGGTATAGTAGATACCTAATGCAGTATTTATTCAGATGTATGTATTATTGATATTAAATATAAATGATAAAAAATAATGTGTTTTATTTGTAATGATTGATTGTGAAAGAAAATTGTCTTTTTCTGTGACAACAGTGAATATTTAAAAAGACATACTTACCGTATATTTATATACAACTCTTTGAATTGATTAAAACCTGAGTTTTTCAAATAATGATGAAAAAAACATATTGAACTACCTTCCAAAATTTGTCAACTAAAAAATTGTATTTATTATATGTAAAATTGAACATACGTAGGTATCTGTATATTTTATGCATAATGTCACATTTTATAGTATATGTAACGTATAGTTAAAGACCAACAAAGATGTTTTATTTAAATCCTTTATTCACTGGTGGTTTCCAGGGGTCGTCGTTAAAACAGCAAGAGTGTAGGAATGTAGTGGTGGATTCTTATAAACCAACTAAACAAAACTTCCACACTGTGCACTATATTTACATTCATCTACAGCCTAGTTTCAACTGGAAAACTAAAATTTATGTTAGATTCTACCAACAGCCGGGTAAAAAAATACATATACTATACCTGTCGAAAGGGTTTTTGCAAAACGCCCCCAGGCCAAATATTTGTCTTCTGAGTAAACTTGGAACTGGCTTTTCTCAATTTACAGGTTTATTTTACTTGACAGTTTAGGAATCTTGCAGATTTGTACTGGAAGAGGTTATTATTATTTTTAATGAATGGGTAAAGGTTATGTTAAAGCTTACAGTGTTATTTACCTGTCCATATGTTAAGTTAGAAGAATGTATTTCACTGACAATCCAGATCACAAAGCATACGTGGGGCCCCGACCTATAACATAAGCCCATGGGACCGGTGTTGAACGTAATTTTTTTCTTGGGAAAAAAACTATACCAAATCTTCACAAAACCAAAGAATACGATGTAAAACGGCCTCCGCTAGCGTGATTTACACAAATGGGTGCACATAAAGTTGAAAATTTCCGATTTTCGTACGATCAAACGGTGGCCGCCATCTTGTGATATCAAAGTGACGTTAGTCACGGCGCTGTCATCGGCTGTCATAAACTCGCAAAATTTTTTGTCGAAGGGTTTAATACCATCGCTTACGACCCTCTGGGGCTACTGTGAGGGCCGAATATAATTTTTCGCGGAAAGAGAAAGGTATCGTGACGTCAGTCGTGAAGAATCCGGTCGTGGAAACACCACGAACGTCACGTAAGAGCCGCGGAAAGTACGTTCTCTTTTCACCTGACCCAAGAGACGCCCATGGTTGAATGCACAAATTTTATATCGCTAATGCCGGTCTTAAATTTTGTTACGTTCGACCTAAAAAAAGTTGATGGAGATATAGAAGAGAGAGACCGTCGCGACGCGTCGCCGGAAAGGCGTCTCGGGGGGCCAACGCGGGCTTCCTCAGTCCTCGGGCGCGGTACGTACGCCGAGAGAAAGGCCAGGGCTTCGTCCTCGCGCAGAAAGCGAAGGCCGATCGAGCGAGGGAAAAAAATTACGCCGTCGCGAAAACGACGTTCTCGCCGAAATAATCCGGGCTTTATAAAATAATCGGGGTCTGGCGAGAGAGACGCGAGATGCGGACCCCTTTTGAAAAGCCAATTTCGGCGTTAAAAAGTAAAAAATACGCCGAAAAAAGTCCTCGGTCGGAGAAATCGACCCCGAAACGCTTCCGATGGAGGGCGTTTCCGAGTATCTGCGTCTCACTTCCCCGCTAAAAGCCGCGGTCGGTCGCGCGGACCCCCCGAAAGACCGAAAATTCGCTGGGAAGAGGGCAAAAAATCGCCGTAGAAATACGACGTTCGTACGAAGAAAGAAAGGCGGGAGGCTTCGCCTCCCGCGCTTCGCCGCCGCGCGGCTCGCTTGCGGAGCCTTAGTTAGTGCAAAATGGTCCTTTTTTGGGGGCGGGCGTGCGAGCGAGAGTAACCCCCACGCTTTAATATATATGATTCTGGTGTGATAGTCGGTTAAAAAAAGGATAAAAGAAATAGCAGCGATTTCTTTCTTGACATCTCGTTCCTGATCAGGAACTTTTTCAAAAGGCTTTTATTTTAAAATTGTTATAGTTAATTAAATAAAACCTAAACAACAACCATTTTCCGTAAAATTTTTTTAAAAAACTATGCATCAGTCATTTGACAAATTTTCACAATATAATATTATTAAGTTTTTTCATTTTAAATTTGAAAAAGGCTTGCATTTTTAGATGTTGTAAGCGTGTCAGGAAATATGTTTAATGGAAAATGTGGTGCGTGGATACGTTGAAAATGAAGTGAGTGATATCGCACTACAAAATTTCTAATAATTCTTTTTAAGGGACATCCCTTATATGTTGGGCTATGGAAAACTACATTTTTCTACATTATACACAGACCACGAAAATATACAGATTGTACCGCTAAAAAAGTATATTTCTGTATTTCAGCAACGCAATCAATTATTTTTCTATAACAGATATGTTATAAAAAATTAAACTTTTATTAAATAGAACGTATAATAGAATGGGCGATATTTGCGAGACCGGTTTTAAAAGAGAAATAATTTTTAGTATGTATTTACCAGCAAGATGTAATTATTTTTTATTACTAACAACACAATTTATGTTCGCTTTATCAACATCTATAATTGTTTGATTAGTTTAATTTTAATTCAGTCTATAAAGAATATTGTACCCACGATACAGCAAAAGTTAAAAAAATATTGCTCTTATTCAGCAATAACACGCATATTGCAGAAAGAAAGTATTACAAAGAGAATATAAAGAAACAATCTGTAATCTGAAAAAAATGAGGCTTCTGGGACTTTTGTGTTTCCTTATTATAACTTTTACTCTTGTGGACATAATTTCCATAGTTCAATGTACAGAATTTACAGGCAAAAGACATCGGGATGGTAAGATGTTATGATCGTAAAATTTCAAATTCATAAGATATATTTGATATATTCAATCGTTAGGACACTTTTTTCAGAACGAGATTTGATGAACACATAAACCCTGCTGTCACAGTTTTGCTCTGACTAGTAGGCCTTTTTTCGGGAAAAAAATACTATTAGAAGTTTCTCTGCGGAATATTGTTCGGAAACCTGTTATAAACAAAATATCAAAAAATCAACTCGAGACTAGTTGGGAAACTTCGTTCAACCAATGGTCAAAATTATGGAAAAGTGGTCTTTCGACTGGCGTAAAAAAACTGTTATTCATAGAGAAAAAAAGGTTTATACAGAAAAGGTAGGTATTAAATAAATCTGTAAAATAAGACAAGTCCGATTAAATTCCGATAATTTGTTTATGCGCAAGAGCTCAAAAATGGTCGAAATTGTCCGCTTTTTTCAATTGCTAATAATTAATGCAATTTTCATCGCAGACACTTGTAATTCAGGATTTTTGAAGCTTTTTGCACCCTTAATAAGTGGTAAAAATTTCAGCCCAAAAACTTCATTAGCTTGGCGTTGGCGGAATTTGTTATCTAAGAAGATGCTATTTTCAATTCATTTTTCCCAAGCTCACAGGCGTTGTAGGGTTTCGATCATTAGTTGTTTTTGTACCTAAATAGTTGTATTGACATATGCATTTACTGATAATTTAATTTTTCAAATTTAATTTGTTTAAAAATGACTGAAAAAATGTTAATATTTATTACATCGTTAAGCGCGCATGCTAAGCCTCGCCTTCCCCACTCGTTCGCTAGACCAAGTAATAGAACGCATCGCCGCTATCTTCTTTTTCGAAATTAAATAGTTGAATTCACCTTAATGTTAATGTAGGACATGAAAATATAGCTCTTAATGTATACTCTCTCCAAATTTCGGCTCTTAATATTAATAATTAAGGTCACTGCGATTAAATAAATAAAAAAAATTATCTCAGCTTCTAATCAACTTACAACAACGATTTTTTTTTAAATTCGAAGAAAACTAAAGTAAAGAGGTTACTATTTTATTTTATAATAATTACCTATCTTAACAATTTAATAAATATTAACATTTTTTCAGTCAATTTTAAACAAATTAAATTTGAAAAACTAAATTCTCAGTAAATGCCTATGTCAATACAACTATTTAGGTACAAAAACAACTAATGATCAAAACCCTACAACGCCTGTGAGCTTGGGAAAAATGAATTGAAAATAGCATCTTCTTAGATAACAAATTCCGCCAACGCCAAACCAATGAAGCTTTCGAGCTGAAATTTTTACCACTTATTAAGGGTGTAAAAAGCCTCAAAAATCCTGAATTACAAGTGTCTGCGATGAAAATTGCATTAATTATTAGCAATTGAAAAAAACGGCAATTTTCGACCATTTTTGAGCTCTTGTGCATAAACAAATTATCGGAATTTAATCGGACTTTTCTCATTTTATAGGCTTATTTAATACCTACCTTTTTTGTATAAACTTTTTTTCGCTATGAATAATAGCTTTTTTACGTGAGTCAAAAAACCACTTTTCCATAACTTTGGCCACTGTTAAAACAAAGTTTCCCAACTAGCCTCGAGTTGATTTTTTGATATTTTATTTATAACAGGTTTCCGAACAATATTCCGCAGAGAAACTTCTAATAGTATTTTTTTCCCGAAACAGGCTCTTTCATGTCTATAATGACTGGGCTATAGTGACAATTTAAAGTTTCGGCTTGTCAACCAGACAAATGATTTATGTATGATTTGCTCGTTGAACCACATACCAAAACTATTTGTTTTTTAATAATTACATTTACACACGATACCTTTCATATTCTCTATAAGAAAAGAACCCGCCGGAACCTTTAGAATGGTTATAATGAGTACCGCTTTTAAAATATGTGAGGAACTGCTTGATTAGCGAAGTCTTTTTTGTTTTAGGGAAGGAAAAGAGAAAAATTGGTTAATGAAGATAACCAACCTGACAAATTTATGAATGTATTAATTTCAAATAAATCGAATTAATAGCATACTGCTATTTAAATTAGACATTAGTCATAAATTAGATATAAAATGAAATTAATGGCTAAAAATAGACAACATTCCGATGATTTTGGTATTGAAACTTTGTACTACATCTGAAATTACTTAACGCCCTGTAGAAGTAGTTTGTTAACTCTCATCAAATAACAAACTTCAATACATTTTAAAAACGGGTAACAAACGTTTAATTACAATAGCAAAATTGCTACATTCTAAAATGGAAAATATCTACGACCCCACTCAATTTATTTAATTAAAATTGCCTTTGTTATTAAATATGTATTAGGCGTTTCCTTTAGAAATCATGCCGCTTCATATAAGTTGTCGACATAGAAAACTGCCTTTTTCGCCTATCAGGAACCCCATAACCCCTTAACTACATAACCTGGAACGTGTGAGAGTATAACAACGAGCGTTCAAATAAAAACGTGGTCAAGTTGGTTCTGAAAATTTGGAAGTAGGGCGTAGCGTATAGCAAATGAACTTAAACGTCATCTGTCAAAGCGCTATATCGCCGCTATCAATTTGAATATTTTCGTTTTAAAAAGCGTTTAAAATGGTGTTTTCTCAAGAACAAAAAGTGTTTATCATAGAGTCCTACTTTAGAAATGGACGCAAGATTGATGGAATATGGAAGTATTCTATTGAGGAATGTTTCATAGAATTTCAAAATCAATTTCCCGGCGTTGTTGAGTACAAAATTTTTCAAAGTGCAGTTCAGCGTTGTGTTAATGTTTTTCGTGAAACGGGCAGTGTAACAAGAAAAGAAGGAAGCGGCCGACCTAAAAAGCGGACTGAAGAATTAAAAGAAAATGTCCAACAAATAATGGAAAATGCGCCAAGAACTTCTGTACGTGTTTTATCACAAATGGTGGGAGTATCAGTCGGTACCTGCCACACAGTGTTAAAAAAAGATTTGCGTTTGAGCTCCTTTAATTGTTTGTTATTGTTATCACGATTATTCTTTAAAATAAAGTTATATAGTCATTAACGTTACTACTAAGTACTAGTTACTATACTAAGATCAATTTAATCGGTTATAGAATTAAAATGTAATGTCCTCTCGTTCGATGGTAAATTGTTAAAAAGGGGTTATAGCTATTTTTTACAATTTACCATCGAACGAGGGGACACCAATAAGAGTGTACCCTTTTTTGACACAAGACTCATTAGGAGAGAGGATAACTCTCTCATAACATCGTG